GCCAAGGTCGCTCCTGCCGCCCGGGGCAGCCCCGCGTTGTTCCAGCATGCGGAGTGTCCTCACATGCCTTCGCGCCGTGCCCACCGGCAAACCACATACGCCTTCAGCTTCGCGTTTCAGGAATAGCATTGCTGTGGGGTGCGTTATTTTTGGCGCAGAGAACTGAGGAACCACACACACTATAAAACTAACAAAGAACGAGGCAGGGCCGAGGAAACACTCCCCTCGCCAAGACTGCGCAGCGTGGACGCACCGGGTCTGCTCCGGAGGGCGCCTGGGCCTTCCCGGCCCCAGCAGACAGGGAGAGCACGGACACAGCCTTCGCGAGGGGCACGGAGAGGAGTCGCTCTAAAAGCAAATCCCGAATCCCAAAGGCAGAGAAGAAAAATATACGAGGAAGGAAGTATGGGAGAAAACAATTATGCTTTGGTTCTTCACATCAATCACCACAGAACAGCTTAGAAATCAGAAGAATCACAGAATCATAGGATGGTTGAGGTTGGAAGGGAATTATTGGTTTCCAATAAGCAGCAGTCAATACAATAGCTCCAGAACACCTTTTTTTTTTTTTTTTTTTGGCCAATCAGGTATTTTACTAACATTTGTTAATAGATAATGAATTAATTATAAAGATCATGAAACACTCATAAATTGCTAGTGACGATTCCCAATATCTTGAGAGAAAACAGGCAAATATTTAATTAATAGTTAATTAAATTTTAAGAGTCCAATTACCTGATAGGGAAGCACAAAGAAAACACTTAAAAAGAAACTGGGAAGTTGGGGGAGCCAAAGAAAGAGAACTTCTAAAACAAGCCTGTACAGAAATACCTCTCAAACCACTCTGTAACTATGAATGTCAGCAATTTAACCTAGTTATTTAAATATATGTCCCGTTTCTCTGATGTGTTTTAATGTGTTTTATTCCATAGAACCAAGTTTTGAGCCCATCACAAATCCAAAACAGATTAAAGAAAATGAGAAGAAAAAACTGAGAAAGTCAAATCGTAAGTATCATTTTTAACACGTTTCTAGGGATGAACACTCTCTTAGGCTGCACTCTTGACAGAGAATTCACTAGGTACATGAAGCCCTTTTACTGCCAGTGTTTAAACATCACTAATCCCAATAATACTCATCTAAGTAATTGGCACATTAGGGTCAAATTATCCCAGCATCAAGTCTAGACAGCAAAACAGGCACAGTTCTTGAAAAATACACCTCAGAAATATCATTTTGTTATTAAGTAATTTGGTAGTTTAGATATACCAGATATTTGTAGCAGTTAGGTTTCCAAATGACTGTAATCCACTGACTTTAGTTGCATTATGACAATATACACTGGGTGAAAATATTTATTTTACATACTTTTACAGATCTGTTACCATTCGTTTCAAATAAACTTTGCCCTTAGACAGAAGGATTGAACAAACTGAAGCCTTTGCATTAATGCAATTGATTTAAGGTCATTTTCTTTTAAAGTAGTTTTTATTTTAGCACTAATTCCCTTAAACTCACTATACTATTATTTACTGTTAGTATTGTTAGTATCCAGTTTTCAAGCTACTGTGGAATGCTTACATCCAGCTAACTGAAAGTAACTTTTCAAGTAAAATATACCCCTGCATATAATCACCAAAATTGCAAAATTCCTTTCATATAATTACTTGGAGATTGTTTTTTAGAGGAGACAAGAAGTTTGCACAGAGGGATATCTTCCCTACAAATGCACAGTCTTGCTATTTTTCCCTATACACACTTTAAATTCCTTCAGAAATAGACATCATTTTTTTCTATTAATACTTCTCTGTAGATAGGGACTTTTCCAAAATGTCCAGGAAGTTCAATATATTAAATAATTTCCTCAAGACTCTGACTTGTACATTCAAATTTTCCAAATGATTCCTTTCTCAGTTTTCAATCACCGTTTAATCATGCATTTTCCTGTCTTGCTTCCCTCCCCACCACTATCAATTTAAACAGCAATGCAGTAGAGCTATACTTGGTAAGTCCACATTTCATGAAAGGGCCTCCTTTCCTTACAGGTTTTTCTGATAATATCAGAAAATCCTATATCATCAGTCTGTGTTGTCTACAGAAAATGTGTGGCTAGTTCTATAGATTCTCCTTGCATGCTTTCCATCACCGCTGTCTTATGGAGGTCTTTCTTTACCCCAGATATTTTTAAAGTCACACATAAAACACACAGGCTGCATTTTACATATTTAATGTGATCTATAAATTTGACCTTTGAGTTACAACAGTTCATAACCTATAAACTATAAATCCTCTTCTAACACTATCAACATTTCTTCCCTGGTCATAAAAATTAAATGCTTCTTGATATGCATACTGGTGTCTACTCAGCACCAGAAGGCTAAGAAAATCAAGAAGTAAATGAAATAAACAGTTAATGTTCTACAAAAAGAGGGAGTGCTACAAAAAGAGAGAGTACCATGCTGAGCTCCCAGTCTGGAGAAAAGCCAATGAACAAATGTGTCTAAAAGTAGCAAACCATCTGATGAAGAAACCCGTGAAAAGGATTCTGCTCTGAAGCAGTTTGGACTAACAAGACACAAAGTATAGATAACTTGTTTCTAGTAACAAGTGAGCACAAGAACCATGGCAAAAAAAAAAGCAGAACTAAATACGCTGCATCATGAATCAGCTTTTCAACTTGTAAATTTCTATGAAAATGCCCATTTGTGAATCACTATATTACATGATAGGATAACCGTTACTTACCTTAAACAGTTATTCAAAAGAAAAAAAAAAGTGTTTTTTCTGCATCATTATTCAGGAGTAGGACAGAATAAGACATACTTCCAAAAGTTTCCGTAAGCAGCATCACTATTTGCAAATATAATACAAAGCCACTCAGTTTACAAATGTTACTAATCCAGGTATAAGAATCACCCTTTTATCTCCAGCTAGGTATGTAAGGTTGCATATTTCATTTCAATCACTATTTGTTTTTGATCTTTCTTATTCTTCATGCATTTGCCTATGTGCCTAGATATGGAATCATATGTTAAGGAACAGCAACTTTACTTGACCAAATGATCTCTGAGCAAGAAAAATACACCAGCCATATATTTTTCATCAGAAGAGATATTCTGATACCATGCTAATTTCAGAACTTTATTTTTAATATTATGTAATATACATATCCAGTCACTTAGTCATCTGTATTTCTCCATTATTGACTAACACACAAAAGTATCTCAAAAGATTCTATCTTTCCCTTCTTCATCAAAAATTATGTCCTTAAAAATAGGATAGAAACTAGATCACTGCTCATCATTCACGTCACTGATGTGCACGTGAAGCGTTTACATTTTGCAAGCACTTTTCAGATGACCCCTGCTGCTGCTGACACCTTGCAAAAAGAGGCAATAAAATATTCCACACACTCTAATTATCTCACAAATACCCTTAATACTCATATTTCTCAAACTAATGCTACATCTTCTACCTTTATTCAGTCACCTTTAATCTTTTTTCTTCTGATTAGAGGTGAGTTATATGACATGGACCTAGCTGACCTTCAATCAGGAGCTGTATCTCATTTGCTAGTTACTTTCTAATCATTTGTTTTCTCAGCCTTGTTTTTAAGGATATGATTCATCTTTCCTAACTTTATCCAGATAAGTGTTATTTGCACCATTTTAAATAGGCATCTTTTCTAAGAGTGGGATGAATCCCTAGTAGGAAGTGCCTGCTCTTTTCATTGCACAAAAAAAGGGCATAAACAACTAGCAAACTTAGCTAGCACATAGCCTGGGGCAAGCTGAGCACATCCCTTGAAACATTAAAATAGAAAGTGTATAGTATTAGTTTACCCACTTGTCTCCTTGGAGACATGATGCTAATACACACAATGCTTTAAAGCATTCTGAAACTCAAACGTAATCTTGAAAATGAAATCTCCTAAAACACAACCTCTCTCTCAAAGCTGCTTGGACACCTCTCTCTACGAGAAAGTGTTTTTTGTTACAATGGAGCATTTTTTCTTTGTCAGAGGAACAAGTCCACGTTAACCTGCTTGGGACATCACCTTTTTTGCTGTCTCCTGTTTGTTGTTCCCTCTGTCTGGAGAACTTGAACTGTTAGACTTCTTTAATCAGTTCCTCTGTTACTTCTATCACAGCACTTCCAAGCCCTTAGATGACTGACCTGATTTTCACTCTTTCGATCTGTTTTGCCCTGTTTGTAACTCTCCCTCTTAAGAGATCAACAGCCTTACTGTTTGTATTGGCACTGGTACCTACAATGTTGCCAAATGGTTACTTTTACTCTTTTAAACTACTCACATCACTGATTATTTTGACAAGTATGATATATATACATTGATACAATGTATATTTAATGCAGACAACAATATATTGTTGTCTGCAACTGCAGACAAATTAGAGAGATGGACAAAATATCCCTCAGTCTTTATCACAGTGATGAGGCCAAAATAGCCAAAAAGCTACTTTGCCATTTTAGACTTTTTTAGACATTATAAACTCCACATAGAACCCATTTTTCTCCATGTATACAGACCCCAACATATTTTAGACAATATTGTAATATTTACAATATTAGACCAATAGTGAAAAAGTTCTCTGCTGACCTAGGCTTCTATCCTAAAGAACTAGGTTATTTACAGTTTCTACTACCCTTACCCCCTTTTCATATGTACATCTTTTCTAACCACAGTCAGAAAATAAGTACAGCTCTGACATGCTAAACTCACCTCAAGCATTACAGAAATCCTACAGATGGTCATAGAAAACAAATACAGCGTGATGAAGATTTCAGTGCAATGGAATAAACCTCACTTCAGGGATGTTAGGTGCTTTGTTCTAAAAGTTTTCGATAATTAGATAATTGGTAACACAGCAGTGCATGTAATTGTTTCACAGTCTCTCACAGCGTTTGCTGTCTGTTTCTCAGCGTCTGCAGTATCATCAACCTTCCCCCTCATCAAGATATTTTTTGAGTGCATCACTTACTTTGTAATACGGTCAATGTTAGCAATTTGCTTCTGGTTCCGGATTATTTCTATAGCTGCCCAAAGATGCTGGATAGCCTTTGTATCTGCCTGTCGTCTCTTCGTTAAGCGTGCCATGACCTGTTTACTTGGTCAGCTGCAGCCGATAAATAAAAAAAATACACCAAAAAGTTAATCGTGAATTATGAAATGGATTACATGATGATCATCTTGCAATAAATACGATTACAAGGAAAAATTTGTTAACCTATAGCAATCCTATTTGTATTCAGCAGCATATTTTTATGGTTAAACAGCAACAAATTAAAAACTGTAGTGTACTAGAACCTCTTTCACATCACATCATCTATACATAAGACAAAACACAGAACAGTAAAAATTATCAAACCATTAGGAAATGTCAAATCAATAGGAAACGACTGAAGCTATCAAACTGGTTTTGAGAGGTCACTCAACTCACATCTTAATACCCTAAAATTTGGGGGAAAAAAAGAAAGTCACCACAGCCTGACACGTTCACAGCCTCCTGTACAGGTTAATGCCCATTAAAAAGGGCCTCAGTAGTGCCTCAATCTGCCACGTTGTGTAAGCAAGAATTCTGCAAGAGGGAAACAGCAGCATCCACTGTTACGATTACAATAAAGTTCTCACAATACTGATTTTACAGTTTTACTATTTACATCAACTTAAAGGAAACCCATTTTGTCTGCAGTTGTGTGCAGAACTGTATTTTCAGGGTTGATACATATATTGGAACAACTCAATTTTCTGTAGCATGCTAAAACGCAACAGGACCAAAGTGCTTCTGATGGCATTTACCCATCTAACCAACCTTGAGTGGAAACATAATGAGCATCTGGCTTTGTTTACAAATCTTGCAAAAGCTCCAGGCAATGAGTACAGATAAGTCATAAATCGCCTACAGCTCTGCTACAGGCACAGAATCCCTTTTTAAAAGCTCAGCAGTGCATTTTGATCACTAAATAACTTTCTTACAGGGCCACCGTTTTCTGAATGAAAAAAGAAGGGAAAAAAAAAAAAGACTGACTTGACTGCTACCAATATATGTAATTTATTTTAGAGCTCAGTGTCCTAAAAAGGAACTCCGTGGTATGCACGATGCTACCCACAGCTAGCAGAAATTTAACTTCAGTAACCCTTAAATAATCTTTTAAATAAATGCAGAAACATGACACCATCTGCGCAATGTTAAAGATAAGGATTTAAGTATTAAAAAAACCCTTCCACACAAATTCACAGAAGTCAAAGCGACGCCAGCATCCTCTTGGTCGTGCAAATGCTATTGAGGAGTCAGCGGGACCTATGTGGGCTGCCAAGCTCCTGAGCCGCTGCCAGCTCAGCAGTGCTCACGCACGCGACGGGCGCAATGGAATATGGTATAGTACGCTGTTATTAGGGAGAAGAAACAATCTGACAGCCCCGTATTCCCCACGACGCAGACCATTTTTTTCAAAGAAGACGCGGTGCGCGTGTGCTCCCCAGCGACTTCTTCTCGGAGGAGACTGCAAGGAAGACGAGCAGGGAGGTAATAATAATAAAAACTCACAACTTAATTTGTATGTGAAGCATATGACTAATTGTAGAATTTAATTCTTAAAGAAAACAAGTCAGTAAAACACAAAACGGGATTAGATGTTAACATGGGAAAGAGCAGACTTCACAGCTCGCCTATCTTTGAGGCCAGGGAGCGTGGAATCCCCCTCACAAGGCCGCAGTGGCTCCCGTGAGCACAATCTCGCCTCCCTCACAAGCACCCGCGTTAAAAGGCCGTGGAGCAGGTGACTGGGCAGCTCTCCCGTTCCCGTGTACAGGCCGAGGAGGAACCGCTCATCCCCCTGACCATGGGAGCTGCAGGGAATCGCATCGTGCTTCTCCGCCGGCCACCCCCACGCAATGGCACTTGTTTTTCCTGCTGTTTTAAAAACAACGACTATCCTTGGCAGCCCGGACGGCGCGAGCAGAACCAGGGGCAGCAGGAAGGAGGCATTTTTCCTTCGTGCTCCTCGGTTACCCATGAGATCCGTACAGCTAAGACCGGGGCTCGGGGATGGCAAATCCCCCCGGCACTCGCCAGGAAGGCCGAGCGGCCTGAGTCTGAGACGGAAAGCAAAGATGAGGGTCCATCGCATGGACCAGCCTGGCTCAAGGCTGAGGAAGCCTCACAAAATGACTCTGCTGACACTAGGCCCTGTGGCCCTGTCATGGCGCTGGACACAAGGCCTCCCTCCTCCCCACTTTCCTCCCCTTCCTGCATGGGTCTTCTCCGACTTTTGCAACCTCTTTCAGGGAGCCTGGGACGGGCTCCCCCTGCTACCCCACACACCTGGGAATGAAAATGAGAAGAGCTCTATCCTATCAGACACATCAACCGCTTATTTTTGCTTTGCTTTTCAAGATATTATAATTTTAGCAGGTATTCGACCTCCATGCGTCACTTCTCTATTAACCATCTTTGCTTTACTCCTTAAGGCCACTTCTGCTAAACACTGTCATAGAAGGAATCTTGTAGCCCCACACTTACAAAAACACCAAAGTAATCTTATTTTTTTCAAAAAGCCTAGGCCTTTTGTGTTATTTCCACCTTAAAATGGTCTGGTAAAGACAGAACATCAAGAACTTTCCTTTCACACTGAGGAAAGTGAGGAAAAAGTTGTGTCGTGTTTCTTCCCGCTTGTCACACGTCTCTTCCCCACATTCCCGCACAAATCTTATCAGTTTTGTGTATTATCACCGAACCCAAAAGATAACCTGTATCAGGCTGCTACTAGTCTAGAAAATGCCTTGTAATGCTCCTTCCAAGCAATAGAAAATGTCCTGACATGCCCAACTTCCTCCTGCAAATGAAAGGTGTGAGTGTAATGGGAGGCCAGTGAGAGTCTTAAATCTGCATTTATCGCTGCAGACTCTGTGCAGGAGAGCGAGTATCCACATCCTGGGCACGTGAAAACGCGCAAGAACCTGTGACTTGGAGGTTAAACAGTAAAAGTGGCTGCTCCATCTCTGCAGCGTTTTAAAGAATTAAGTTACAACTCCAGAGACTCTTTAAAACCACAACACTGAAATGTACGCTTACGTACACATGTCTGAAGATGTTTCTCATCTGCTCTTCCATTATAGAAGTCACTTCAAGAAAAACTAAAAACAGAACTAAACATGAACTTCCAGCTTGTGATTGCAAACTATCACGTTTGCTTAGCTACAACACAACACAAAATTATTTGTGTAGGGCCATTTTAATTTGATTCATGGCATTCTTGTCATCCAGAAGGATCCTGCTAAGGATGCTAAGGATTTGTATCAGCAGGATGTGTCTTTTGGGGTTGTGCAGGTATCCATGGGATGCGCACAACATGGGGAACCATCTCCCCAAAAAGGCAGAGTTTTGAGTGGCTGGCATCTAATCTTACATGTTTAGGCCAGACACCAAGCTAGAACAACGCCTGAAGCAAATCATTTAGCTTCTCACTTTTCAACTCTTTTAACTATTCCTTATATAATTTGAGTAAGGTTTCAACGTGCCTTAATTCCCTCTGAAATATTCTATATACCTTATTTCAAAAAGTGCAATGCTTTACTGTACACAACTTTACTCAAGAGCAGATTATTACCCTCATTTCCCAATACTGAGGAACAGTGAGCAGAGAATTGCTCTTGCGAACACGAGCACTAAGGTTATCTACGCAGCTAAGCAAAGCACACGGCAAAGCACGCGCTGCCGGGCACTAGCAGTGTCACGGTGACAGCAAACCAGACTTTCCGGACAGAAATGCTATGAGCCACTGGATACACACTCAGGCAAATCAGAGTCTGTACAACTATGTTCCTGGAGTACTGGATACAGAAATCTGCACTGGAATTCAAACCAAAAGAAACAAAAATCACCTTCGCATCATGTCTAGGGATTTAGCAGTAGAATCTCCTAACCTTCTGCTCACATCTAGATTAGTATATTAGTAATACATTAGACTACAAGACATATTACCATATACTATCACATACTGCATACAATTGCAGACTGCCCATACCTGTAAAGGCAGTCAAACCTTGCAAGGCTTGAGCTGTTAAATACCATCTCCCAAGCAAATTATGATGCCCCTGAAAGTCTAACTACCCAGTTGGACTTTGCACTAGGCAGATGGTCTTGTAGTCAGGTGCTGCCTCTTTGATGGGGGCTGCTAATTAAGAGCTGACAAGCAACAGCTTGTTAAACCTCCTGTAAGTACTTGACCATAGGTGAGGATACCTGTGGCCCTAGTCCCTTCCTGGGCAAAGTCAAACAGGTTAAACTTCATCCTTGCACTGTTTGGTTGAGATGTGGTATGCAGCTAATTGCAACTGAAAGATGATTTAAGAAGCTCCCCCTTGCCATTGCTCAGCAGATAGTTTCTGTCTCTCAGCCCTAGGTCCTTGTGGCTTGCAATTATTTTGTTCACACAATACAGTAGAAAGATTTCAGGCTCAACAGGAAGAAGACTCTAGACTCAGTCTTACATTTTTGTGGCTTTTTGTGCTGTGACACAGGCTGAATTTGGAAGGCTAAGAAACTTGGACAAAGAGCTACGTACCCATTTACATGCACTTTATTATGTGACACGGTCTAGTATTTCTAAAAATGTTACTTTTTTATGGTAAGAATAAAACTGTGTGTATCAGCCATACAAGTAATTCCAAATGTTCAGTGCTTTGTTCTTTTATTAAATAGGACTTTCCTATTAAAGTCTAAATTACAAATTTGGGAGTAGATGTAGAGTTTGGGTTCTTGAACTTTATACAGATCCTGAACTTTACACCGATCTGAAGTTCTTCAAATTTATAGTTTGCAATTAAAACTGCTGTTAAAATCAATCTTTCATCACTAGTTTAATGTGAGGGTAAATTCTTCAGTACTTCCCTCCTAGAAGAGTGGAAAACAAAAGCAGTAACTACTCTGTTTTCACATACAGCAGTGTACACGTGATAACTGTTTGCCTGAGCATCAGTGGAGGTAATGTAAGTGTGGAAAAACAAGATAAAGTTTAATTTCAGGTCTGCCTTCCCACAGCTACAGACCTAATCACGTGGGGAGAAGCTGCTAGACTGAGGAGGAAGGTCTTGGCAAGAGCAATTCTGCATTTT